CCCCCCCCCCCCCCCCCCCCCTTTTTTTCCAAAAAAAAATAATTCCCACCTCAAAAAACACCCCAAAATTGGGGGGGGGGGTGCTTTAAGACATGATTTACACCAAAGAGCAACAGTACACTTTTTAAATTCAGTGCACGGACTTCCAATTGGCCCCTGCTTGCTTTGCTCCCAGTTCCATGTTTTTACACACAACAGATTTTTGTCCTTCAACTGAAAGGGTCAAGTTAATTGGTGTTAAAATGTAATCTAATGTTTCCAGTCAGCAAGCCCTACCTGGAGTGTAACCCAGTGTGTCAGGTTTTTCTACTTGGTTTTTCTGGTTGATGTAGACCAAACCAAACATCCTGAAGCACAGCAGAAGTTATTAATTTGAGGGGCAATGAGCCAGACAAAAAAATAGCCACCTGCTCATGAAGGAATTCCAAGATTCTGTGAATGCTCCACACCCGACCTCAATCAACTCCTTTCTATGGCAGGCAGGGTCTTTGTTCCCCATCATGGAGAAGGAGCACATACTCTGGTTTCTACTTGCAATCAGTTGACTCTCTTAAAATGGTGGGTGTATTTGCTTAATACCCTGAAGCACAAGCTAGCACAAGCTAGCCAGCCACCTAGTGATTTTAGCTGTTGTGCAATGCCAATCCATGGGAAGCTGATGATTCAGTGTTATCAGGCAAATTCAAAGAACTATACTAAGTAATCTATGCCTGAATTAACCATCATTAAGTATGTTGAATGAGTAGAGCCAATCGCATGCTAAATACTGTAACTCTACCTTCCCAGTAGGAAAACAGTTTCTGGGGGGTGGGTGATGTATTGCAGTTAATGCCACAGTGGTGGCTAGACCTTGCTAAACGCAGCTTTATTGCAAACACAGGAAATTACTTTTATGCACGCTGTTCCTTGGAAATGCTTTGCCAGGCAATAAATAACTCTGATCAAAGCCCCACCCTTTTTTAATTGCATAATGGCCCCCATCTTGACTTTTCTCCCCTTCCCCCCGCTCAATGCCACTGCCATTTTGTGTATAGTTTGGGATGTCCCATCTCTAAACAGGACAGAATTGGAAGGTCACAATCAGATCAGAGCCAAAGAAATGGGTTGAGGGCATTAGAACACATTCCCCAAAGTATAACTTTTTATGTTTTAGAGCAACTTACAGAAAAATGTGAAGGCAGGGAGGGAATTTGGTAAAAGTTTGGAAAGTTATGCATGTTACTAAATGAATGAACCAAAATCTTTCATAAGCATGATTCGCGGCAAGGGGGAAAAAAGGCAGCAGGTGACACATGTTCACATCTTTCATAACAGTGGGATTTGCTCCCAATGATAGCCACTGACATTCACTGTGGTTGCTAGGTTATCATTCTGATTCCTTCCTCCCCCAAGAAATAGGAATCAGAGACAGAACAACCATTTTCTAATATGGTTCCCTCCAAAAGTGCTAACCCTTCATACATTTCATATGAAAAGCAGAAGATGCTTGGGTTGCATAACACACTGGGCTAAAATGCTATTGACATTGCTCAGTGCATTGTGCAAATGCAGCCAGCATGATTATTGATGAGGTCAATGTATTCTGCAAATCCAGGCATTTGGGCCTGTTCTCCAAACCCTAGTTTTCTTAATACTGGATCAGAAAATTACACAAAGTCTATCTTTGACAGACACAGGTAACCCCTCCCTGACTTGCTTAGGCACCCCACTGACCTTCCAGATAGTTGAGGTCCAGCTTCCATCAGCCTCAGCCATCAAGATCAATGGTCTAAAACGATGGAAGCTGCAACCTAAAAATATCTAGAGGGCTTTCACACTCAACACAAGTCAATTTTGTTTGGGGATCAGCAGCTTAAAAGGAGATGAATAAAAGAGAATGAAATTCAGTAGTGGCAAGATCAATTGCAGGAGGGAGCTAGAGTGAAAAAAGCTGAGTTCAAAAGAAGTAAGCGGCAAAGAACATCAGATAAAGTGGATTTATTAAGCTGAACCAGTATTTGCTATTATTTATTAAATAACTTCAACCACCAGTTACTATAGTCCACGGAAAAATACAACCAGTTCACCTATGCTACAAAGCTTGGCATAGAGAGATTCTAGATGAAATCTCTCAATCCATATTCTTACTTTTATTTGCCCAATCAAGCATTTTTAAGGAATGTCAAACTGCTTTATAGTTTATTTTTGATGATGCTATAGAAAGACTGGAGCATGGGCTAGAAAACTAGGCTCTGGTGTGCGAGTCATGATGCCAAGGATATCACGGTGAATTCATAGCCTCCACAATACTGGTAAAGCATGATGGGACTTGTAGTCCTTCAGTTATCGGACTGAATTGAACAGAAACAGGGAAAAGAGAACATGTTATGAAGCAAATCTTGAGCAACTAGGGGTTTTTCTCCGTGCACTGAAAACTCTGGGTGTGTGTGGGTGTGTTTGAGGGGAGTGGTATTTGTAACTTAGTGTTTGACGTCTGGTGCTCCATAAAAAATTGGGTTATATTTTTATTAGGACAATGACTAGATTTGAACATTGCTTTATGTTCTGGAGAAATTTAACTTGTTTGTTCCCGTTTATGCAAAATTACCGATCATTAAATGAATAAGAATGTCCCCATCAGGCTCTTACTCCTTTAATAGATTACCTATTTTGCTGCAAATATTAAACCTGTATGAATAACCCATTGTATTAGCTGGGTAGAAAACAAGGCACAGCGTGAACATCTCACTCCATGGCAGCATATTCTTCAAAACAGGACTGAAGTTAGTCTTATTCAGGAATGTGCCACTCTGAAATATTCTGATGGGGAAAGCTATGCTAAGGCCAAATTAAACAACACATGTAATTATAGATTGTATTAAATAGCCTGCAATTGGACATGTCGATCATGTCAGTCATTAACACAACACCTCCCCATCACTCCATCTAGCCCAGGGAATGTTTTTCTACCCTTCCCCCCTTTCGTTTTCCACCAGACAGATTCACTCCGAACAAAGCATTAGCTGCCATATAAGATAAGAATGCCTATGAAGGGAAGGCTGAAGATAAGACATTATTGAAAATCAAGATCAAGCTGGATCATTGTTTTGCCCTACACCATAAATGAATAAAGAAAGGTAGAGGAGAAAGTTTGGCAAGGGTGTGCCCAAAGACAGATTGCTTGAGTGTCTGTAGGAATGGTTCAAAAAAAGCCGAGACCGTAGTCTCCACTGCTTGAAAACCTTGCTTTTGGCCCCCAGACTGATTAGATAATATTCACATTATCTTTTATTATTGGAATGTTGGAGAAATTATTTCCCATTGCCCTTCTGTGTTTTTAACATCTTTAATAGCCACCCATATTACAACATGTTGTAAGACTCCCCAAAACTTAAGGTACTGTTAAGGGTGGTGAGAGTCTTCCAAGATAATCTTTACATCAAATGTTTTAAACCAAAATCAGAAACTCACACTGGAAAAAAGAACAGAAGAACATGGTTCATGACAGGCTAGCCAAAGTAGTACCCCTAAACTCCAATATGTCAGAGACATCATCACTTCCCTTGGTGCCTGCCATGCTCTTGTCCCACCTATTTACCTTTTAAAAAGCCATTTATTTTTAAAATAAAAGGCTTTTAAAAAGTTTCAATTAAACCAATTTAAATGAGAAGCTGTCATGCTGCAAAACCAAGCATCAGTTTCCAGCATTATCTCTGTTTACAAGAATGCCTCTGGACCCCACCTTGACATTCTTAAAGAATTGAAAACTGGAGGGTTGCTACACCTCACTGCTTTGCTTGAGCTGTGCCCACTGCCCCTCCAAGGCCGAACAGGGGTGGTAGGGAGCATCCTAGGGAACGTAGGGAAGGATAGAAGGCATTAACCTCACAAAGTGCCTTTGTGGCAAATAAATGCTTTGTAATTTGCCAGGCCCACCACAGAAGTGGGGATGGTATCAGAATCTGCAAGATGGTGGGTGTGGTGCCACAATTAGAGGCCTGCCCCTCTTGGTGTCACAATGTATGGTCCAGCCACACATTAACCAGGGAGAAGCAGACCCAGATATTCAACACTGAAATTCATAAAAGTGGATTCCTCACCCTACATATTCACAACAATTTGGGGGCTCTACACAATACAATACAATGCATCTTGGCTCTGACTGTGACATCCAGGCTCCAAGCCCCCATGTATTGGCACATAAGGGTCTATGTACCCTTCTGCAGAGATAACTTGCCATGTGTGGGTTTGGGAAGGGACCACAGATGCAAGGCAGATCCCCCTTTAGGCACTGATTTTGCATTTGCACAGCACTGTAAAGTAGTGGGAAAATAATTTGGGGGCTCATTTTTTGTCTGGTAAAACAAGCAAAAATTGTTT